TACACTGGACTGTAAAAAGGTTTTCCTAAACTAAAGTGAATTTGGAAACCAGTTAAGATGGATTTAACCAAATTATTTTTACTTCACTAGATTAAATTGAACTATACTCTAAAAGTTTGAACTAGACTATAATCTTAACTAAACTAGACTATTATGGTGCTCTAAACTGAAATGTTTTGATGCTTTGAATTGAACTATTTTGATTCATTGATTTGCCGATATAGGCCAAATTGGCCCATTTAATTTTATTTTATTTTTCTAAATTTACTAAAGAAAATATAAAAAAAAATACTAGGCCTATTTTTGTTTCGAGCTTGAAAATTAGTGGTTCGATAGGTCAACTCTAGCCAAATTGGCCCAATTTTTTTTTCAAATCATTTTTTTTCTAGCCTAACCCGCTAGGCTATTTTTAAAACATCTAAATTTTTCTCCATTTTATGAAAATAGTTCAATTTTGTTTAGTTCGATTTTTAAATAGTTTAGTTTATTTTTTTTTTATAAAATATTACATCTATCCCTATTTATAAGACTCAACTTAGAATAATTGTTTGTTCTTTTAGATATTGACTCAATTCATATTGTTTTATGTATTAATTATTTTTAGACTAAAGTACTCATAATTAATATATGTGTACTTAATTTTGTGAAATTCATTAGTTATAGGATCTTTAAAAGGTACATATTCTAATTAGTTAAGAGATATAGAACAATAGTAATTAGGAGAGAGAGAGAGAGATAATATATGACATGCACTATGATTGATTAAGAGAAATATGAGTATTAATTATGAGAGATAAATTATAAAGTTTATTTTAGAAAAAAAAATTATAAAAGTAAGACAAATTTATTATTATCAATTATATTAAATATTTTTCTTAATCTTGATGACTCAGGTATTTGAATCTTATATATACAAATAGATGTAGTAGTTCATTCCAATTTTTTACAAGATTAATTCAATTCATTCCAATTCAATTTTTTTTTACAAGATTAGTTCATTCCAATATGATAATTTCTCCCAAACTTGTATAAAATATTAAAAATCAATGACTGGGATTTTTGTTCTAGATCTCTTAGCTCAAAGTGAGATAGTCAATTGTTTTTCATTAAGGGTCAAGGTTCTAAAAATGAAGATAAACTCTTTTAAGGTCCAAAGGTTTGCACAAAGGTTTTAATTTTTCAAAGCAAGGTTAGCTATTTGGCTCAAACGATTATAAAACTTAAAGACAAATGACCTTATCATATGTACACATGCAAGTGAAATAGTTGGTATCAAAATTCAAGCAAAATCAATTATATGTCATGAATGGTGGCTCTCAAATAGGAATAAATTCTGAAGTTCAACAACTCACACGGTTTAATTCATTAGTTTTCAAAAGTTGGCATACATCTTGTCACAACCATTAATCACAATTAAAATTGTACCTGTATAAGGATACACCAATAGTCTTTCTGTGTTCTGAAGGCCGAACGAACGCTCCAATCCAATATGAGGGTGGGTGACCAAATAATCAAGTGAAAGGGGATTCATTACTTATGGAAGGAGATGGAAATCTGTTTATAAGATGAACTGCAGTGGAAAGGGCTTCACACCAAAAACGTGATGGGACATGCGACTCCAGCAAAAGAGTGCGAACAACATCTAGCAAATGGCGATTTTTTTGTTCAGCTACCCCATTTTGTTGGGGGGTTGATGGGCATGATCGTTGAGATAAAATGCCATTGGTTTGCAAGAATTCCTTAAATAAGTGTGAGGTGTATTCCCCCCATTATCAGAGCGAAGAATCTTGATTTTGGAGGAGAATTGGGCCTGAACATAAGCATAAAAAAATTTGAAAGTAGCAAAGACTTCATCTTTTGAACGCAGAAAATAGACCCAAGTGAAACGACTATAATCATCAAGGAAAAAGAAAAGGTTTCTAAAGATCCAACTATGGCCTTGATAACCAGAATTGAGTTCGGGGGTCGGTTACGTGTAAGGAAGGTATTAAGCACCCCTACAGCGCCCTCAATCAAAGGGCTTCACACCAAAAACGTGATGGGACATGCGACTCCAGCAAAAGAGTGCGAACAACATCTAGCAAATGGCGATTTTTTTGTTCAGCTACCCCATTTTGTTGGGGGGTTGATGGGCATGATCGTTGAGATAAAATGCCATTGGTTTGCAAGAATTCCTTAAATAAGTGTGAGGTGTATTCCCCCCATTATCAGAGCGAAGAATCTTGATTTTGGAGGAGAATTGGGCCTGAACATAAGCATAAAAAAATTTGAAAGTAGCAAAGACTTCATCTTTTGAACGCAGAAAATAGACCCAAGTGAAACGACTATAATCATCAATAAAAGTTACAAAATACTTGTAATAAGCATGAGATATAACTGGTGCTATCCCCCAAACATCACTATGGATGATATCAAATGGTTGGGTGACATGCGACTGATGTGTTGGAAAAGGTAAAATTTTACTTTTTCCAAGCTTACAAGGAATGCAATCAAAATAAATATCATTAAGAGATGGGGTGTGTTTATTTCCAAGAAAACTAGACTTGAGCATGTCATGGAGTACATTGGAGTTGGGATGCCCAAGACGCCTATGCCATACTTGATAATCAACAATAGCAGAATTACAAGAGACTAAAGGTAAAGAAAGACTTGGAGACAGCAAGAAATGGATGGGAAAAAGACGTCCAACTTTAGGCCCCTTCGCGATTATCGTCCGCGAGTGTTGATCCTGCACAAGACAACCAGACTGTGAGAATTGAACTCGACAATCATTGTCGACTAATTGACCAACAGAAATGAGATTACTGGTGAGACCAGGAGCGACAAAGACATTTGTTAGAGATGAAGAAATATCACCAGTTGCTGTTATAGGCAATTGATTTCCACCAGCAGTATGTATGTTGAGATTCCCCAAATATTTTTTTATATTAGTAAGGAATCGAGTATTGTTGGTCATGTGGTTGGAAGCCCCAGAATCAAAATACCACGGTGAAGAGCATGATTTTGGAGGAGAATTGGGCCTGAACATAAGCATAAAAAAATTTGAAAGTAGCAAAGACTTCATCTTTTGAACGCAGAAAATAGACCCAAGTGAAACGACTATAATCATCAATAAAAGTTACAAAATACTTGTAATAAGCATGAGATATAACTGGTGCTATCCCCCAAACATCACTATGGATGATATCAAATGGTTGGGTGACATGCGACTGATGTGTTGGAAAAGGTAAAATTTTACTTTTTCCAAGCTTACAAGGAATGCAATCAAAATAAATATCATTAAGAGATGGGGTGTGTTTATTTCCAAGAAAACTAGACTTGAGCATGTCATGGAGTACATTGGAGTTGGGATGCCCAAGACGCCTATGCCATACTTGATAATCAACAATAGCAGAATTACAAGAGACTAAAGGTAAAGAAAGACTTGGAGACAGCGAGAAATGGATGGGAAAAAGACGTCCAACTTTAGGCCCCTTCGCGATTATCGTCCCCGAGTGTTGATCCTGCACAAGACAACCAGACTGTGAGAATTGAACTCGACAATAATTGTCGACTAATTGACCAACAGAAATGAGATTACTGGTGAGACCAGGAGCGACAAAGACATTTGTTAGAGATGAAGAAATATCACCAGTTGCTGTTATAGGCAATTGATTTCCACCAGCAGTATGTATGTTGAGATTCCCCAAATATTTTTTTATATTAGTAAGGAATCGAGTATTGTTGGTCATGTGGTTGGAAGCCCCAGAATCAAAATACCACGGTGAAGAGCATTTACCTGAGAATCCCAAAGCAGAAAATGCTAAAATGATCATTTGTTGAACCATTTCAGGAGTCAAAGTTGGAACAGTAGTAGTAGCATGTTGTGGGACAGGTGTTGGATTGGCAGAACTGTTGGGAATAGAAGAATCAATGGTGGTTGTAAAAGCTGTTGCAGTTCGCCTTGGTGGCCTTATTGGGCATTCCTTAATAATATGTCCATGCTTTTTGCAGTAGTTATAGAATTTTTTTGGACAGGAGGAAGCATAGTGTCCAAATCGCTTGCAACTAAAACATTGAATAGCACCCATGTCATGGCGTCGTGACTTCCCTTGTGCCATGTATGCTACGGGAACAGTAGACAATCTCTGTTCTTCAATGATGGATTGTGTAAGAAGACGTTGTTCTTCATGTAACAAATCGTTGAGGCACGCATCCAACGATGGTACAGGATCTCTATGCATGAGATGGGACCGGATGCCTTCAAAGTCAGATCACAATTTCATAAGAAATTGGTCACGTTTAGTAGTTTCATGAATTGTTTGTACGGAACTTAGACCTTCAGAAGTCAAGTTTGCATAAACTATATCAGTGTATTCAGCCCAAAGATTCATGAATTGAGAGTAAAAATCAGAGATGGAGAGACTATCCTGTTTAAAATTAGCTATGTCGTGCTCAAGCTAGAAACGACGAGCGGCATTATTTTGACTATAAATTTTCTTCAAGTAAGACCACATTGTTGCTGCAGTCTTGTAAGGACGAAGATTCAGGACAATGTTCGAATCAACGGAACCAAGGATTCAGGCCATGACTTGAGCATCTTTGACTGCCCATTGAGCATGAGCAACCGTCTCTGTGTCTTTGTTAGGGGCAAGAGTGCTGCCATCAACATGACCCCACGAATCTTTTCCGGTGACAAATATTTGAAATTGAAATGCCCAAGCTGAGTAGTTTTTTTCAGTAAGGCGAACAAACAAGACATCATATTTTTCGAAAGCCATGGAGCTCCGGAAATAGAAATCGAGAAAGCAGGATCAGGAATCTAGGACAAGGCTGAAGGAAAAAACAAAAACTAGGTTGTGGGATTGTCCACTCTACTTGGTTTTTCATTCACTCAAAGTCGGTATGATCCATCACTTTTCCTCCAAAAGACTCCTAAAGGCATCGTTGTCCTTCTTGTTTATGTGGATGACATTGTGGTCACTGGCTCTGATCCAGATGCTATTTCTAAAACCCAACAAATGCTGCATTCAACTTTTCACATGAAAGAGTTAGGTCATCTCAATTATTTCTTGGGTTTAGAGGTGCATTACCATCCTGAAGGCATTTTCATAAATCAGCACAAATATATTCAAGATTTAGTCCAGCTAGCTGGACTCACAAATGCTACCCTTGTTGACACTCCAATGGAAGTTAATGTTAAATATAGAAGACATGAAGGAGAGCTTCTTGATGATCCCACTCAATATCGAAAACTAGTTGGTAGCCTCATCTATGTGACTATCACTCGCCCAGATATTTCTTTTGCTGTACACACCGTTAGTAAGTTCATGCAATCTCCACGACACTTCCATTTTTCAGCAGTACAACGTATCATTAAATATCTCCTTGGCACCTCAAGGCGTGGTTTATTCTTTCCTAAAATTTCATCTCTTCAACTCCAAGCATATAGTGATGCTGATTGGGCTGGCTGTCCAGACACTAGGAGATCAACTACTGGCTGGTGTATGTTCCTTGGGAATGCTCCTATTTCATGGAAATGTAAGAAACAAGATTCAGTATCAAAGTCATCCACTGAAGCAGAATATCGCGCAATGTCTGTTGCTTGTTCTGAAATAATATGGCTACGTGGTCTTCTTACAGAGCTTGGATTGTCTCAAGCACAACCCACTCCACTGCATGTTGATAACACCAGTGCCATACAGATTGCAGCAAATCCGGTTTACCATGAACGGACGAAACACATCGAGGTCGATTGTCACTCTATTCGAGATGCGTATGATCGTAGAGTCATCAATCTACCACATGTTTCAACATCTATTCAAATTGCTGACATTTTCACTAAAACATTGCCACGCCAACGTCACAATTTTCTACTTGGCAAATTGATGCTTGTAGATTCACCAGCATCAATTTGAAGGGGGATGTCGACAGAATGAATGGCAAAAGATATGCAATTATATATTTATTTTTAACGATTATTCTCTTAATTAGGATAATTAGCCGTAGTAAATGTATATATAGAAGTTTAGCTTATTTAGTGGGCTGAAAATCAGCTTAAAAAATTGTAATTACTTTGTATTTATATGAGAATTCTCCAACAAGAGAACACACAGTCTTTGACTCAATCTTCTCTAGGTTTTGACAATAACAACATAGATACAACTCTTATCAACAACTTATGCGTCATCACGCATTTCAACTCGAAGATCTCCAATAATTGAGGTTGAGAAGTCTAGGTGGCATAAACCCTACCGAATCCAGCGTTTAACCTATCTCAATCAGGTTAGGTATAGAACATCGTTAGGAGCTCCGAAGAGAACCAGGTATAGACAACAATAGGCGATTGCTCAGGTGGTTTTAGTGAAAATGTCAGCAATTTGAATAGATGTTGAAACATGTGGTAGATTGATGACTCTACGATCATACGCATCTCGAATAGAGTGACAATCGACCTCGATGTGTTTCGTCCGTTCATGGTAAACCGGATTTGCTGCAATCTGTATGGCACTGGTGTTATCAACATGCAGTGGAGTGGGTTGTGCTTGAGACAATCCAAGCTCTGTAAGAAGACCACGTAGCCATATTATTTCAGAACAAGCAACAGACATTGCGCGATATTCTGCTTCAGTGGATGACTTTGATACTGAATCTTGTTTCTTACATTTCCATGAAATAGGAGCATTCCCAAGGAACATACACCAGCCAATAGTTGATCTCCTAGTGTCTGGACAGCCAGCATCACTATATGCTTGGAGTTGAAGAGATGAAATTTTAGGAAAGAATAAACCACTCCTTGAGGTGCCAAGGAGATATTTAATGATACGTTGTACTGCTGAAAAATGGAAGTGTCGTGGAGATTGCATGAACTTACTAACGGTGTGTACAGCAAAAGAAATATCTGGGCGAGTGATAGTCACATAGATGAGGCTACCAACTAGTTTTCGATATTGAGTGGGATCATCAAGAAGCTCTCCTTCATGTCTTCTATATTTAACATTAACTTCCATTGGAGTGTCAATAAGGGTAGCATTTGTGAGTCCAGCTAGCTGGACTAAATCTTGAATATATTTGTGCTGATTTATGAAAATGCCTTTAGGATGGTAATGCACCTCTAAACCCAAGAAATAATTGAGATGACCTAACTCTTTCATGTGAAAAGTTGAATGCAGCATTTGTTGGGTTTTAGAAATAGCATCTGGATCAGAGCCAGTGACCACAATGTCATCCACATAAACAAGAAGGACGACGATGCCTTTAGGAGTCCTTTGGAGGAAAAGTGATGGATCATACTGACTTTGAGTGAATGAAAAACTAAGTAGAGTGGAGCGAAATTTCTCAAACCATACTCTAGGGGTATGCTTCAATCCATATAGAGAGCGTTTCAATTTGCAAACATTAGGCGGGGAGAGAGTCAACATACCACCAGGAAGTGTGATGTAAATGTCCTCCTTAAGGTCACCGTGGAGGAAAGCATTTTTTACATCCATTTGATGTAGTGGCCAAGATTTGGATGCAGCAAGAGCAAGGATAGTACGTACAGTGGTCATCTTGGCAACTGGAGCAAAAGTCTCATCATAGTCTAGGCCATACTCTTGATTATTTCCAAGCACAACTAGTCGCGCCTTGTGACGGTCGATGGATCCATCCGAACGCAGCTTGATAGAGAACACAAACTTGCTGCCTAAAGGCTTAACAGATGGGGGACATGGCACTATATCCCATGTCTGATTTTCTTCCAAGGCGAGAAGTTCACTTGCAATAGCTTTTTGCCAACATTCATTCTGCATTGCCTGTTTATAAGAAGAAGGAATAGGAATAGATGATAAAGTTGCTGTCATGGAACTAATATACCTTTCTGGGGGCTTACGAATGCGTGAACTGCGTCGTGAAGGAGTTGGTTCTGGTGCTGAAGCTTGTACTGGATCAATAGCCAAGGAATTATCTGGAAGGGGCCCATGGGATTCTGCTGGTTGATATTGAGAGGTAGTTTTTTTTCTTTGATAGGTCAAGAGAGGTCTAGATGATGATGGACCGGTAGAAGAATTAGAAAACAATGGCAAAACAGAAATTGGAGAAGAGAACGAGTCATGATATTTTGCAAAAAAATATACATTTTCTAGAAAAATGACATTTCGAGAGACTTGAATCCGATGAAGTTTAGGATCATAACATAGAAATCCCTTTTGATGAGGAGAATAGCCAAGAAAAACACATTCAACAGATTGTGCAGTGAGTTTTGTGCGTTCTTGTGGAGGAAGATAGACATAACTTGCACAACCGAAGATACGAAGAGTGGAGTAATCGGGTGGGTGACCAAATAATCAAGTGAAAGGGGATTCATTACTTATGGAAGGAGATGGAAATCTGTTTATAAGATGAACTGCAGTGGAAAGGGCTTCACACCAAAAACGTGATGGGACATGCGACTCCAGCAAAAGAGTGCGAACAACATCTAGCAAATGGCGATTTTTTTGTTCAGCTACCCCATTTTGTTGGGGGGTTGATGGGCATGATCGTTGAGATAAAATGCCATTGGTTTGCAAGAATTCCTTAAATAAGTGTGAGGTGTATTCCCCCCATTATCAGAGCGAAGAATCTTGATTTTGGAGGAGAATTGGGCCTGAACATAAGCATAAAAAAATTTGAAAGTAGCAAAGACTTCATCTTTTGAACGCAGAAAATAGACCCAAGTGAAACGACTATAATCATCAATAAAAGTTACAAAATACTTGTAATAAGCATGAGATATAACTGGTGCTATCCCCCAAACATCACTATGGATGATATCAAATGGTTGGGTGACATGCGACTGATGTGTTGGAAAAGGTAAAATTTTACTTTTTCCAAGCTTACAAGGAATGCAATCAAAATAAATATCATTAAGAGATGGGGTGTGTTTATTTCCAAGAAAACTAGACTTGAGCATGTCATGGAGTACATTGGAGTTGGGATGCCCAAGACGCCTATGCCATACTTGATAATCAACAATAGATAATGAATGCATCATGAAATAAAAAACATGAGAACAACCACAAACATTCAATCAGCATTTAAACAAAAAAATCCCAAGCGCAATCCAAAATATCCAAATATAAGCATAACATAAAAGACTATCCATCAGTGAAATGCAAGGTTCACTCAAAGTCATAACTACTTATGCATTAGAAATACTAATCGAATTGAGTTAAAATGTCACTAAACTACTATCAACATAAATGTAAAAAAAAAAAAAATAAGCATTACAAGAAAATGACGATTTTGCGACGGTTATATGACCTACATTGCGACGGTTAGAACTGCCGCAAAGACAATATTGCAACGGTTCCCAAACCGTCGCAGAATTATCCGTCAGAAGGCAATTTTGCGAAGGTTATCAGAACCGTTGCACAAACCGTCACAAAATTGGAATTGCGACCCCTGAAGCACCCGACGCACTAACTGCCTCTATATTAACATTTTCATCAACTGTCGCACTAACTGCCTCTAAATTAATATTATGACCCTTTTTTTACCCGTCAGAAATTATAATTTTTTTTTAATTTTAATAAATTTATTAATGTAACAATCCTCATACTTGGCCTCTCAAGGGTTCTATTTCACGATATTTCACTGTTTAGCGTGTTTTATTCTTACTTGTGCAATTTCTAGGAAACTTCCCAGAAGGTCACTCATCCCTGTACTACTCCAGGTCAAGCACGCTTAACTGTGAAGTTCTGATGAGTAAGCTACCGAAATGTATATATATGTTGTTAGTATAACTTGTACAAATTAATTCATTTAAGTCATCCTCAAATATACAATCTCATATTTGTACTATAATAATAATATATAATAATTTTATATTACGAATAATAATAATTATAATAATAATAATGTACTATCCGTACCGCTATGCCGAGCTCGAGCTCGGTATCACAGCGCAGGATGACCTCGGACATGCGCTGGGAGATCTCGGTCTAGACGAGATCCGCTATCTAATCAGATCATAACTGATCTCAGGCCCAAGGCCCAACGAAACCCTAATTCACACCAAGGTATGTGCATTACTTATACGAGACTCATACTCCCACAAACCCTAACTTTGGCATCGGAGTCTCTTTTGCAGGTACCACCCCCATCTTGGAGCATCAAAGTATCCTGAAGGAGGCTCACCGATCTTACCTAGCGGATCATCCCTACCTCGGATTCCTAGTAAGAACATTTGGCGCCCACCGTGAGGCCGATCAAGACAGCTCTTATCGGCCACGCTTATGGTTTTCACCAAAAGCCATAGCAAACGCGCAACAGACGACCTAGATCACATAACTAACATGGATAACGAAGCAGCATTTAGACGACTGATCGAGCAGGTCGAGCAGATGTGGCAACAACACGCCGCAGATCTACAAAGTATGCGTGCCAAGCACGAAACTGACCTAGCCGCGATGCGTACCGCTAATGAGGCTGACCTAGTAGCACTACACGCCGAGAACGAGCGTATTCGCACTCAACTCCCTCGGCGTCCCTCTGATCAACCCCCTCAACAACCCAACCTGCATGAGGAGGAAGGGCACTCGGTTTCTCAATCGCCAACAGCGGCTAGGGCACCAACCCCCAGGCGTGCCACACATCGGTCTCACATACCGACCAACAGGTCGGCAGATGACGTAAGCAACGCTCTTGCCCACGTCATGGGAAATCAGGCGACGTTCCGGTGTCATCCTTTTGTGGACGGCATCATGGAAACACATTTCCCTTTCGAGTGGAAGCCTCTCCACATCGACCGTTACGACGGCACCACGGATCCAGACGAGCACATCAATCTGTATACCACACAGGTAAATCTTTACACTAATGAGGATGTTATCCTGTGTAGGGTTTTTCTGACCTCGCTCAAAGGGGCCGTGCTCAACTGGTACACCCAGCTACCTGCCGA